TAGGCAATGATGTGAACATGTAAAGTGAAGTCACTCAGTTGTGTCCGACTCTTTGCGACCCCATGGACTGTAGCCTACCAGGTTCCACCGTCCATGAGATTTTCCAGGCAAGAATACTGGAGTGGGTTGCCATTTCCTTCTCCAGTGAACATGTAACTCACAGTACAAATTAATGTCAAAAAATGCAAAAAGTGTTTAACCTTAACAAGTTAAATGGACACATTAGGGGTGTGCAAAGTGAAACAAAGTGTGGTATATATACACCATGGAATATTACTCAGCCATTAAAAAGAATTCATTTGAATCAGTTCTAATGAGATGGATGAAACTGGAGCCCATTATATCAAAGTGTCATTTTTTGCCCTTCAAATTATCCAAAATTGAAGTGATTAATAATATATATTAATGAGGGTATGGAGGTCTAGGTACTCTTATGCAAAACTGGTGGGAATTCAGATTTGTATAGTTTTCTTTTTTATTGTGGTAAAAAATATATAATGTAAAATTTACCATTTTAACTCTTTTTAAGTGTAAGATTCAGCAGCATTAAGTGCGTTCACACTGTTATGCAACCATCACCGTTATCATCTCCAGAGCTTTTTCATCATCCATATGAAACTCTGTCTCCATTAAACACTAACTCCCCATCCTCCTCCCTCAGGCCATGGCACCCACTGTCCTACTTTCTGTCTCTATGAATTTGATTACTCTGAGGACCTCATATAATGGAATCATACAGTATTTGTCCTTTTTGTCTGGTTTATTTCATTTGGCATAATGACTCCAAGATTCATCCACACCACTTGTGTCAGAATTTCCTTCTTTTTCAAGGTTGAATAATATTTCTTTGCATATGGTACAGTACTTTTGAAGAGTGACTTTATAGTAATCAGAAATTCCAATGCCATATTCTTTGATATCATTCCACTTCTAGTTATATCCTGAAGAAATATTTGCACATCTGAGATGAGACATTTACAAAGATGTTCATTGCAGCATTGTTTTACTTACTTATTTTTTGGCTGAACTGTGCAACATGGCCTTCTCCGGTGGCTCAGTGGTAAAGAACCCCCTGCCAAAGCAGGTGACGTGGGTTCAATCCCTGGGTTGGGAAGATCCCCTGGAGAAGGAAATGGCAACCCACTCCAGTATTCTTGCCTGGGAAATCCCATGGACAGAGGAGTCTGGTAGGTTTCAGTCCATGTGGTCACAAAAGAGTTGGACATGACTTAGTGAATAAACACCAACAACAATGAGGCATATGGGATCTCCGCTCCCTGACCAGGGATGGAATCTGTGCCCCTTGCAGTGGAAGCATGGAGTCATAACCACCGGCACTCTTTCCCTTGCGAAGTTTCTGCTATACTGGCCTTCATACTGCTTTTGAACTTAAGCTTTCTTCTCTTCCAGGACCTTTGCACACGATGTTCCCTTTGCCTGGATTGCCCTTCCCCCAGATATTGTGAGGCAAGTCCCTCATTTCCTCCAGACCTTGCTCAAATGTCATATTATTTGCGGTGCTTTCCCTGATCATCCAGGGCCCTTTATTCTGCTTTCCATCACTATAGCACTTTCCATTACCTAAGAAATGATGTACTTAGCTATTTTACTACTATTTTGTCTGTTAACAGCTGCTTGAAGACAAGCTATAGTAGGTGCCACCTGACTAAGAACAACTTATGGAAGAACCATCTAACCTGGAAAGTTTTATCCATCTCCTTGTGTTTGAAAAATATTTTCATTTATATTTTCCTCTTCTGTATTTGTGTTGCTCTATTTTTTTTAAATTTTTTTGACTGCACTGTCTCAATTGTGGCATGTGAGATCTTTAGCTGTGGCATGTGGGATCTAGTTCCCTGCCCAAGGATCAAACCTGGGTACCTTGCATTGGGAGCGTGCACTGTTAGCCACTGGACCACCGGGGATGTCCCTGTGTTGCTTTATTTTAGCAGAACTTCCAGGCCCAGTTTGTGGCAGTCTCTGAGGCCACAGCAGCAGGTTTCTGTCCTGCAGAGGCTGGGAACAAAGCACAATCAGTAGTGCTGGGCAAGATGTGGATGTGAGGAGTCATGGCTCAAACAAGGTTTCTCAAAGTGTGAGTGATGGTAACTGATTGAAAAGGAGATTGAAAAAAAAAAAAGTGAAATTGGACATTGGAACACACTGGGCTGAACCACAGCTGGTTGCTCTAAGGCAGAACTTCTTGGAGTCTTCAAGATGGCCTCCAAGGGGAAGATAGCACACAGCTTCCTGAGCTCCTGTGACCACAGCATCCTTTTCAGAGGTTGTAACATTTAGAGGACGAAGCTTGCAAAACACTGACTTAAGTTTCCGCCACGTAAACTTTACGCCGGTAAAGATGTTCCTTAAAAGGAGTCCTGGCTAGTGGTACATGGTCCAAAGAATAGGTGCTAGAATAAGCTACAGGGTTTGGCAGAGACCTATCATCTGGAGAGTGAACTTCACCACTCAACTTCTGATGACCACAAAAAGAGGATGGTGATAGGATCAAGAAGGTACAAAGAAAGGAAAATCTCAAAGCTTATTTCAGCAGTTAATATCGTTACACTAAGTGCAAGATCCTTTGCCAGAAATCAACATTTGTCTAAAGCTTCTTTTTTAAAAAATATATTTATTCAGCTGCATTGGGTCTTAGCTGTAGCATGTGTACTTTAGTTCCCTGACCAGGGATCAAAACCTGGTCCCCCATATTGGGACCTCAGAACCACTAGAGAAGTCCCTAAAGCTTCCATTTGGCGTTGGCTGGGCCTGATTGAAACGGTGCCAATGCCTTTGCCCCTTCGGATTGAGGGATGAACAGTGTATCTTAAAATGCAGCCTGTTGAGGTTGGGGAAGTCTCCTGAGATGTAGTTTCCATAAAGAATGAAACAGACACTTGTGCAAAGTGTCTGAGTACTGAGTGAGTGTGGCCCAACTTCAGGAAAGAGAGAGAGACTGCTGGCCCCGCTTCCCAGTTGATACCACAGGTTGGTGAAGACCACACAGAGGTTTCCTTGCTCAGACCTCCGGTTGTGTGCAGTGTTTGCCAAGATCCGTGAATACTTTGAGGGATCCGCAAGGACGGAGGAAATCCCATGAGAATTAGAGAATTAGAGCAACAGCTAAAACCTTTTTTCCTCAGGGGATTCACACGAGTGCAGACCTCAAAGCCTGTCAAGTCAGTTAGTGATTTTGGGAAAAAGGACATTCTAGTCCCATTGCCCAAATCAGCACTCGTCTTCACTAGAGCTATTCCGGTGAAATGCTTTTCTCTCAGGTTAAGTGTAACGTTAAGTGTAGGAGAACTTTTAATCTTCAAAACTCACGTTTAGTTGGAAAAGGCCTATTTAAATTATACAATATTCAAGCAAGAGTGGTTCAGCAAGCACTAGTTTGGTGACATCCTGAAGGGTTAGGGAAAGGAACTGAATAAAACTTTATGAATTTTCTGAGCTTGTCAGAGCTGACACTTGGATTCCAGTCCCTGCCTTGCCTGTTACAAGAACTAGGGGCTTGGACAAGTCCAAACACTGGACTGGGAAGGATATAATCTTCCAACCTGAAAACAAATCTAATGTGTTCCCTGAAGTCTACGGAAAACTTTTAAAAGGCTTAATGTTTCATTACCACCTCTACTGGTTTAATAGCTTTTTACCTTTCTGGCTCGTTTTTACCACCAATTTGAAGCATTAACAGGCTAAAGTTAAGTGCTTATTTCCAGTCTCTTAACTTACCCAAGAAAATCAGTCAAGTATTCCAATTTAATGTTCAAAATTAAGTGGGTTTCTAGGACAAAAGTTGAAACAGCTTTTGCTGCTAAGAGTTCCTAAAGTTATGCACCAAGCTCTTCTCAGGTACACCTGAACTCTCATGAGGCTTGGCTTTCTACATTTGTCTATCACACCACTGGGTGATTCTTACCCCTCATGCTACCCTTGTGGTTACACTAGTTTTACTACCAGAAGTGATTTTCTTAGCTTACTGTAAAACTGAGAACAGGGAGGGCTTCCAGCTCTTTTCCCCTTTACTTCCACACCCAGGCCCTCCCCTTCCTACTTCCAGCTGAGAACCACTACTGAAGAGAATTGTATAGCAGGAAATTAATAAAGGAGGGCTTGTGCCCCAAAATATTCTTACTCCATCTTCAATTAGCACTGAGTATACTTCCTAGGGCTTAACCGTGTTATGCCCTCACTCACATCCAACTCTGCAACCTCATAGAGCCTGCCAGGCTCCTCTGTCCATGAAATTTTCCAGGCAAGAATACCAGAGTGGGTTGCCGTTTCCTTTCCCAGGGGACCTTCCCGACCCACGGGTCAAACCTGCATCTCTTGGTTCTCCTGCATTCGTAGGCTGATTTTTTTTTTACCACCGCACCACGTGGGATGGGAGCATAAAATCTGCCATGTAGGGTTTCCACAAGATTCTTGCCACCACCCAAGTTACAGAATCTCCTTCACTGGAGCAATCTTACCCCTAACAAACAGGCAGAGCTGTTATTAGGAACCAATGATGTTAGTAATCACCTTAACTCAATCTCTCTCCTTACCCTTGTTGACCAGGGCCTCCATTTGGTTCTTGGCTCAGTTCACTTAAGAGAAAATTATGGTTCTATTATCTAAGACTAAACACCCAAGTGTAAAGCACCAGAGGAAAAAAGGGACAATAGTCAACCAATAATTACAGGACTTCAGAACACAACTGAACAACCTCTGAATTTCATTTCTCTGTAATAAGTCTTGTTACCCACTATTTCAGGAGGCAGGAAAGTGCTTTCCCCCAACATGCCTCCATACTCTTACAATTTGAAATGGTTTTAATTACATTAGAATCCTATTAATGATCTTGAACAGAGGTCTATACCTTGGCACACGGAATGTTTGCCAAGAACTTAAATTTTGGACACACAAACTGCAGACAAATGCCTTCTTTGAATACCATTTTAACCTGTTAAAAGTACCCACCATTACCATGTATTCAGAACAGACACCAAAAGTGCTACCATGCAAGAAAACTTTTATTAACATTTTGAACAGGTTCAGCTATTACTGAAACCGGTAAACAACTTAAACTGGGGTAAATGGCTAGAGTGCAGAACGATGCCATCATTGGGCATTATGAATAGAAGACTTAAGAATTAACAGCCACCCCTCAGACGGAGGACCAGGTGCAGGGTCGACTCTTTCTGGATGTTGTAATCAGAAAGAGTGCGGCCATCTTCCAGCTGCTTGCCGGCAAAGATGAGCCTCTGCTGGTCAGGGGGAATGCCTTCCTTATCCTGGATCTTGGCCTTCACGTTCTCGATGGTGTCACTGGGCTCCACCTCCAGGGTGATGGTCTTGCCGGTCAGGGTCTTCACGAAGATCTGCATACCACCCCTCAGACGGAGGACCAGGTGCAGGGTCGACTCTTTCTGGATGTTGTAATCAGAAAGAGTGCGGCCATCTTCCAGCTGCTTGCCGGCAAAGATGAGCCTCTGCTGGTCAGGAGGAATGCCTTCCTTATCCTGGATCTTGGCCTTCACGTTCTCGATGGTGTCACTGGGCTCCACCTCCAGGGTGATGGTCTTGCCGGTCAGGGTCTTCACGAAGATCTGCATACCACCCCTCAGACGGAGGACCAGGTGCAGGGTCGACTCTTTCTGGATGTTGTAATCAGAAAGAGTGCGGCCATCTTCCAGCTGCTTGCCGGCAAAGATGAGCCTCTGCTGGTCAGGAGGAATGCCTTCCTTATCCTGGATCTTGGCCTTCACGTTCTCGATGGTGTCACTGGGCTCCACCTCCAGGGTGATGGTCTTGCCGGTCAGGGTCTTCACGAAGATCTGCATACCACCCCTCAGACGGAGGACCAGGTGCAGGGTCGACTCTTTCTGGATGTTGTAATCAGAAAGAGTGCGGCCATCTTCCAGCTGCTTGCCGGCAAAGATGAGCCTCTGCTGGTCAGGAGGAATGCCTTCCTTATCCTGGATCTTGGCCTTCACGTTCTCGATGGTGTCACTGGGCTCCACCTCCAGGGTGATGGTCTTGCCGGTCAGGGTCTTCACGAAGATCTGCATACCACCCCTCAGACGGAGGACCAGGTGCAGGGTCGACTCTTTCTGGATGTTGTAATCAGAAAGAGTGCGGCCATCTTCCAGCTGCTTGCCGGCAAAGATGAGCCTCTGCTGGTCAGGAGGAATGCCTTCCTTATCCTGGATCTTGGCCTTCACGTTCTCGATGGTGTCACTGGGCTCCACCTCCAGGGTGATGGTCTTGCCGGTCAGGGTCTTCACGAAGATCTGCATACCACCCCTCAGACGGAGGACCAGGTGCAGGGTCGACTCTTTCTGGATGTTGTAATCAGAAAGAGTGCGGCCATCTTCCAGCTGCTTGCCGGCAAAGATGAGCCTCTGCTGGTCAGGAGGAATGCCTTCCTTATCCTGGATCTTGGCCTTCACGTTCTCGATGGTGTCACTGGGCTCCACCTCCAGGGTGATGGTCTTGCCGGTCAGGGTCTTCACGAAGATCTGCATACCACCCCTCAGACGGAGGACCAGGTGCAGGGTCGACTCTTTCTGGATGTTGTAATCAGAAAGAGTGCGGCCATCTTCCAGCTGCTTGCCGGCAAAGATGAGCCTCTGCTGGTCAGGAGGAATGCCTTCCTTATCCTGGATCTTGGCCTTCACGTTCTCGATGGTGTCACTGGGCTCCACCTCCAGGGTGATGGTCTTGCCGGTCAGGGTCTTCACGAAGATCTGCATACCACCCCTCAGACGGAGGACCAGGTGCAGGGTCGACTCTTTCTGGATGTTGTAATCAGAAAGAGTGCGGCCATCTTCCAGCTGCTTGCCGGCAAAGATGAGCCTCTGCTGGTCAGGAGGAATGCCTTCCTTATCCTGGATCTTGGCCTTCANCACCCCCCGCCGCCCCATCGACCGAGGAGGCCCCCTCCCCCGCCGCGGAGGCGTTCACCTGACGAGAATGTTCTTCTAGACCTCCCTCCAGGCGGGACACTCCTCCCTGCAACGTCTTCCACGCAGAGGCCTCCCCCCACTCCCTGTTCCTCGCCTCGAACCCCCCACCCCCACGGTGGAGGCTTTCTTCACCGTCCTCATTACGGAGTCCTCACACTGCCCACTGCTCCACTGCACAGCCCCGCCTCCCAAATCCCCGCTCCAGGTGACCCGGTGGCCGCGCTTAGAAATGCTTCCCTTCTCACATCCCTTTCCCTCACTGCTGTTTGTCCAGACCCCGAGTGAAAGATGATGTGGATCGGGGAGCCGAAAACCCACATGGAGAGACAGAATTCACGTACGAGAGAATTCGCGACCCTAGCATTTTTAGTGTCCCATCAATGTGTTCGTTGTGCCAGCGACATTACGGGTGGTTTAACCCCTAGGACCCCGCTGCGGGTGTGACCGCAGGTCAGCAACGAGATAACCGGGGGAACGTGAGTAAGGCAGACGTGTTTGGGTCCGCAGCCACGCAGCCCGGCGGCTGAGTCATGCTGGTGGGGGTGTAAATAAACATGCTTGTGGCTGTCGCGTAGCAGCAACCTCGCGAAGTTAGGAGGTGGTCTGGAGATGTGCACCTTACTACAGAGTGGCTAGTTTTCACTTAGGAAAGGTCGTGAGTCTAAATGACAATCCTTCAACGCTTAACAGTTAGAGGAGGTACAGTGTGACAAGCATTTGAGTTAACGCCCAGACAGCGATAAATTTATTCTGACTTACTAAAATCTATTTACATGAATGATAGAAGATAGAAATAAACAGTTTCTTGAAGATAATTTGGTCGATGAGGTAGTTGATTAAACGTTGATGGTACAAAGTATGGTTTTTCGTTTTTGTTAGCCTGACGTTCAGTAGTTTGAGCTTGTTTAACTAAGTGACAACTCCTCTTGAGTCATCCCTGTGAATTGGTGGAATGATCTAGAATGGAAATCTCATGGCTTGATACGGTGACATGTCTGGGAATTCTAGCAGTTGCCAGAAGTTAGTCATACAGCTTCCTGGTTTAATGTTTGAACAAAGGGCATTTGGTAACCTCAGCACAGAAAAATGTTTTCAGAAAAGAGGAATATGCGTGCCATGTTTAATAGACAAGATGAGTTTTTTATGGTGTGTTTTTTAAAGAAACTTTTAATAATAGCGTCATTTCTGGTGATTGTAAAAGGTAGTCGATAAACACATTAAAGAATAGACCGACAGAAATCCCTGAAATCACAGATTTGGAAATCTAGCACAGCACTTGGCATTGTGCTTAATAAATGTTTGTTCAGTGAACTGTAGTTTCCTTTTGGTTCAACTGGGGGAAAATGTTGACAGCCTTAGACACTTAAAACACAAAGCAAAAAAAACAGTTCTTATTTAATGACCATGTGCAAATGGTTTTGCCTAGGCAGTCCCTTTGAAAGGAAGAATTTGATTCTAAGATTCAAAGTGATTTTTTACTTAGCTAGAGGTCTTTTAATAAAAATCTGTGAGAAAACTGTTTCCAATTATAAATTCACAATTGTTTTCTTGACATTATCAGCTGACATTTAAAATACAGAGTTATTCTGTGGTTTTTCATTTCCTTGTTTGGCAGTTTATTGCAACAGAATTATGAGACTAATTCTGATTTCTTACCAGCAAGTTAGAGACTTTGATATTGAGTGCCCAAATGAACACAGAGCAAAATTCTAAATTGTCTTTATATTGGGCCTCAAAATTTTAAAAACCTGTCCATTTAAAAATAGCTATTCAAGGTATTTCTCTGGTGGTCAAGTGGCTAAGACCCCATGCTCCCCATGCAGGGGGCGGGGGTTCGATCCCTGGTCATAAAGTAGATTCCACCTCAATAAAGACTGAAGATCTGGAGTAATGCAACTGAGACCCAGAGCAGCCAAATAAATAAATAAATAATTCTAAAAGAATAGCTATTCAAAGAGATTTTCACTGTGAAAGATTATATACATACATGAAAGTTGGAGATGATATAACAAACACCATATAACCACCACCCAACTTTGTTAAATCTTAACAGAATAGCAAAAGCTATTTTGCTTAAGCTTTTAAAAATATTTTTGTGAAAAAAATGGGGTATAGAATTTACGAACTATGCACTTTTTAAAAAACATTTATCTTTGGCTGTGCTAGGTCTTTGTTGATGCGTGGACTTTCTCTAGTTGTGGAAAGCAGGGCCTACTCTCTAGTTGCGGTGTGTAGGCTTCTCATTTTGGTGGCTTCTCTTGTTGTGGAGCAAGGGCTCTAGGTACTTGGGCTTCAGTGGTTTCAGCCCACAGACTAACTATACACTTACAAATGTACAGTTTAGTAGTGTTAACTGTGTTCACATTATTTATAACATATCTAGAATTTTTCATCTTGCCAAGCTGAAACTCTATACCCATTAAATAACTCCCCATTTCTCCTTCCCCTAACCATCATTCTTCTTTGTATGATTTTGATCATCTTAGGTACATTATGTAAGTGGAATCATACAGTGTGTGTGACAAATTTCCTTTTTTAGGCTGAATAGTATTCCATTGTATGTATGCAGCACATTTTGTCTATCCATGTATCTATCTATGTGGATATGTGGATTTCTTTCACCTCTTGGCTTTTGTGAATAATGAACTGCTACAGTGAACATGGTTGTGCAAATATCTCCTTAAGATCTTGCTTTCAGTTTTTTTGAATATGCACTTACAAGTGAGATTGCTAGATCTTAAGGTAATTCTATTTTTAATTTTTTTGAAGTGTTTTTCACAGCAAATCCATTTTACATGCCTCCCTAGTGTACAATTTTGATTGTTCCACATCCTCACACCAACATTT